AATGCTGGGACTCTGTGATGTGGCGGGCAGGGCCCAGGACAGTCATAAAACCAGACCTCTCACCATAAACCCCTGCTGTATCACACAGTCTTAGCTCTGTCGGATCACACCTAGTTTGGAATAACAAAAAAGGAAATCTGAAACAATATGTAGTGCATTTGAGGGTCTTCCAAAAAATTGACGTTCATTCAGAACCTCAGAACGTGACCTTATTTGGAAATAAGGTCCTTGCAGATGTCCTTGAAGTTGGACTAGAGATGAGATTTGCACTGGGGTGGGGTGAGCCCTAAATGCAGCGATTGGTGTCCTGACGAGAGACGGAAAAGGACACAAAGAGACATAGAGAAGGCGCCGCAGGGGCGGAGCCTGGAGTGATGGCTACCACAGGAAATGGCATCTGGAGCCACCAGAAGCTGGGAGAGGCAGGAAGGAGCCTCCTTGGAGCCCTCGGAGGGAGCGTGCTCCTAAACACACCTTATTCGTGGACTTGGAGTCTCCAGAGCTGTGACAGTGAGTTTCTGCTGTTTTCAGTTCAGTCGCTCAGTCGTGTCTGACTCTTTGCGACCTCATGGACTGCAGCACGCCAGGCCTCCCTGTCCATTACCAGCTCCTGGAACTTGCTCAAACTCATGTCCATCCAGTCGGAGATGCCATCCTACTATCTCATCCTCTGTCGTCCCCTTCTCCTCCTGCCTTCAATCTTTCCCAGAATCAGGGTCTTTTCAAATGAGTCAGTTCTTTGCATCAGGTGGCCTAAGTATTAAGCCACCATATTTGTGGCTATCTTTTCTTTCTTTTTTTTTTTTACAGAAGCCACAGGAAACCAATACACAAAACTGTCTTTTTTCTTAATATCAGAAGTAACATGTATTTTATTGTAGGAATCTTAAAAATCCAGCAAAAGCACAAAAAATAAAATACAAAGAAAATTATTTCTTTTTAGATACTGACACATTCCCAGTGTGAATTGCAAATTGTGACCTTGCTTGTCCTCTGGTGACTCAGGCGGGACTCAGTGAAATGGGCAGCCAAGGGGAAGGCAGAGGTGGACCAGACAACTCCATTGTCCCTGCCGGCTCTCTCTCTCTCATTGTGCTCCCATCACCTCCTCTCTACCGCCAGGCTCTTCTGTCCTCACACCCTCTTCCCTGACTCAGCCCATGTGGAGTTGGAGGTTTCCAGGGAGTGCCTGCTTTCTGTTCCTGGGTCTGAGACAGCACCCATGACCATGGCTTTGTTTGGTCTCTTAGATAAAGTTGCTGGGAAGCTCAGCTTTGAACACCAGCGGTCAATCAGAACCACCTTTCTGTACAGAGACCATGAGAAGGACCTGCAGAGGTGCTCAGAGGCCCAGGGAGCAAAGGGCTGAGACCCAGGTGATCAGATAATTAGACAGTTGGGCTCCTACAGGCACGGACTCTGTAGGTGGCCCCACCCACGTCCTCCCACACCTTCAAGCTTGTCTCTACAATTGAGGGTTAAGCAAGGAAGCGTCTTCATGCGGTTGTTGGGAGAACTAAATGAGGCAAGGGATGTGGAACCACTTTGTAAACAAAAAGGCAATACATAAGTGGAAGACTTTATCACTGTCAGCTGAAAGAGCTGAAGATATAGATTAAACATGCACGACCACCATCCAATATTTCTGGCCCCTGTGTTCAATTTGTTCACTAGACACCAGCAGGGACGTTCAGGCAAAGAGTCTCTGTTGCTCTCCAGCCAGCTCAGCTCCTGCAAGCAAGGCCAGAACTCCTGTCTGGATCCTATCTGCAGCTCAGGGGGGCCAGCCAAAGGGAAGATGCTGCTACGTGTCTCCATCTGGGAACAGAGGGGCATCTGACACCATGCAGGCGCCACGAGGTTGGGCTGGGGGAGCTGCATGGATGTCCCTGCGTTCACGTAGAGCAAGGCAGGCACACACTCTCTCTAAGGCCCAGATGGGTGGTCAGTATCTTAGGCTCTGTGGTCCCCTATCTTAGCCGGTCTGGGCTGCTGTAACAGATCACCTTTGCTGACAAAGGTCCGTACAGTCAGAGCTCTGGTTTTTCCTGTGGTCATGTAGGGATGTGAGAGTTGGACCATAAAGAAGGCCGAGCGTGAAAGAATTGATGCTTTTGAGCTGTGGTGCTGGAGAAGACTCTTAAGAGTTCCTTGGGCTGCAAGGAGATCAAACCAGTTAATCCTAATGGAAGTCAACCCTGAACATTCATTGGGAGGACTGATGCTGAAGCTGAAGCTCCAATACTTTAGCCATCTGATGCAAAAAGCTGACTCATTGGAGAAGACCCTGATTCTGGGAAAGATTGAGGGCAAAAGGAGAAGGGGGTGGCAGAGGATGAGACGGTTGGATGGCATCACCGACTCAATGGACATGAATTTGAGCCAACTCCGGAAGATAGTGACCGACAGAGGAGCCTGGCATGCTGCAGTTCATGGGGTCACAAAGAGTCAGACACGACTTAGCAACCTGTCAACAACAACAACAAACAGGTTACCATAGGCTGGGTGGCTTGTAAATAACAGGAATTTCTCTCAGATCCTGGAAGTCTGAGATCAAGGCTCTGGCCCGTTTGGTGTCTGGTTAAGGTCTGTTTTCAGGTTCATCAACAGCCAGCTTCTCGCTGTGCCCTCACTGGCGGAAGTGACAAGGGGATTCTCTGGCCCCTCTTTTACTAGGGCACTAACCTCCCTCATAAGATTCCGCCCCCAGTTCTTACCTCCTCCCAAGAATCCCACCGCCATACCTCCTCAATCTGGGGTTTATGATTTCAACCTATGGATTCAGAGGAGGGGCACAGACATTCAGACCAAAGTAATTGGGTTACCCAGGTTGGCACTAGTGGTAAAGAACCCACCTGCCAATGCAGGAGACTTGAGAGAGGCAGGTTCAATCCCTGGGTTGGGAAGATCCCCCGGAGGAGGAAATGACAGCCCACTCCAGTATTCTTACCTGGAGAATCCCACTGGCAGAGCAGCCTGGCAGACTACATGTTCATAGGGTCTCAAAGAATCAGACACAACTGAAGCAACTTAAGACGCAATGTCACAACCAACAGTTCAGCTCTATCAACAAAGTCGCCACAGCCCATGCGTCCATCAGTGAGCCTGGCTGTGTGCCAATAAAACTTTATTTATGAAATCCAGCAGTGGGATGGCTTTGGCCATTGGGCTGAGGTTTCCTGACCTCTGATCAGAGGGGCTTGGGGAAAAGTTTCGGTGACTTATTCTTTCGCGTACTTTGATTTCTGTGACTTGGATCAGAAGACTGAAGGTTCCTGAGATGACACAGCCTGCTGAGTTGCAATGGAAGCTGCATGATGAGCTGGTCTTCTGGAAAGACACCTCCACAGGACAGGTGTGTGGGGTGTGTCTTCAGGGACCTGGCCGGGCTTACAGGTTGGTGGAGGCCCCTTCGCAGAGCTGGAGATGGTTTATGACTTGCTTTTCTTTCCTGCACTGCTGTGTCTGTGCACTGCAGCAGCCGGACACCCAGTGGTTTCTGGAACTGCAACAAAATAGCTCCTGTGGGCGAATTTCTGATTCTACTCATCCCCAGGTCTGAGAGGGCAGCGAAAAGCTGCAAGCGTTTGCCAAGGACATGGTGGGGCTGGCTGAAATCGTTGGATAATTCACACTTTCGCTTGAACACAGATGGCTGGGCCCCTAGGAAACCTGGGCATTGTTTCCTGGTTAATCTGAATTCAGAAAACTCCCCTGTGTGCCCTGCTCTGTCTTCATTCTTATTATGGATATTATGCCTAATTAAGGTGGGCACTTATCAAGTAGTTCTTGGAGGCAGGTGCTATGCTAGGCACTTTATATCCATCTCAGCTCTTGACAACAGCAGCCAAGGTAGCTGGCATTAACTCCAGTTACAGCCAAGGAAATAGAGACTCAGGCAGATGGAGCTGAGTTCTCTCCATCAAAGACTATTTAAGTAAATGATGAGGCTTCCATCGAGATCCCAGGGGTGTCCTGGGTACCACTGCATGGGGGACCATTGGCCTGGGTCCTCATCACTTTGTTGTCTGGGTCCCTCTTGTTCTCCTTCTGAGGATGGGCAGGGTTGGCCAAACAGAGGGCATGCTGCTGCTGCGTAGGACTCGCTGGTCCCTTCAGAGAGCCCTGGACTCCTTCACAAGTTGTCCATATGGAGATGGACGTCGCCTGAGAGCTCCAGGGCTCCTGTGCCTCCGGAGACCTGTGTACCAGCCTGAAGTGCATCCCTCCTCCTGGGCGAGCATCCTGCTTTGCTCCCCCATCCTCTGAAGCCAGACTGGTCATCCTGAGGCCAGACCTGGGCCTCCCTTTCCTGCATGTTCCTGGTGCCCAGCAGGATGTCAGACATGTAGTAGGCTCTCTGGAAATGTTTGGTGGATGGACCAAAGATGACTGATTTGGAAAGAACTTCCACATGACATTTAATGTCATTACTATAACAACTCTGTGAAGTGGCAGTGTGTGTGTGATCACCCTACTTACATAACAGCGGCTCAGATGGTGAAGAACCCACCTGCAATGCAGGAGACCCAGGTTCGATCCCTGGGTTGGGAAGATCCCCTGGCGAAGGGAATGGCAACCCACTCCAGTATTCTTGCCTGGAGAATCCCAAGGAAAGAGGAGCCTGGTGGCCTCGGACTATGGGGTCGCAAAGAGTCGGACACAACTGATCGACTCAGGCTTTCGCCTTTTCACCAGGCTGGCACAGGTCAGACAGTGGGTATGAGACCAAAGTAATGGTGGTATTTACCTTCTGTTTACTGAGCTTGCACCGTTGTGCTGAGAGCTCATCCCAGCCTGGGGAGGGCAGGCAGTGTCGGGCTTGGGATGGAGAGACCCCTGACTTTTGAACTCCAGCCTCCAACCTCAGACCCTCACTGATTCTGTGCCCCTGGGCTGGGACTTCACCTCTGAGAGGGTCAGCTGGCTTCTCTGTGAATCAGGGATTTCGGCACCTACAAGGCAGGGTTGTCGCGAGGCTCAGACAGCGTGCAGCACGAATGCTGCTGCTGCGCCTCTTGCCCCTTGGCCTCTTTGGAAGGGTACTTGGCTCTGAAAAGAATCATCAAATGGAAACCCAAACCCAGAACATGTCAGAGGAGCTAACGGTAAGGCTGGAGTGGGGATGGAGTGAGCTGGGGAGACTCTCTGACGCATCCTCTTTAATTGCTGTCTTAATTATAAACACTGTGAAGTACACACGCTGTACCGTTTACCATCAGTTGTACTCTGGCACTTTCTGATCTCTGGGCTGTGTTTACATGTTCTGGGGGTGCTCTTGTGGCCTCTTGGAAGGCCTAACTTGGACTTAATCCTTAGCAAAGGTGCTGATTATCACTGGGGACTTGCTGTGTGCCTGGGGTTGCTTTTCTTTCTGACCACAGCCTGGAGGCAGGTGTGGTTCTGTGCGTGTTACAGGCGAGGACTCTGGGATCCCCCAAACCAAGGGGGACCCTGCTGAAGGTCTCGCAGGGTGGGCGGCAGGATTGGATTGCGGGTCCATCTCCCTCTGCCTTGCGTGGCTTCACCCCCAGCTCAGCGACGTCTCTTGTGATGACCAGACACGTTAGGTGGTCTGATTAGCTCGGGTCTGTCTGCCCGCCCTCGTCAGGTGTTATTTGGCATCAGGAGCGAAAATGAAAAGAATTTAATTCATCATGAAGTGCTGAGAAGGAAAAACACAACCAAGAAACAGCGGCTGAGGAACATGAAACTGGGAGATGAGGCTGAAGGCGTCTGCTGAGCGGGGCGGCGGCGGAAGCCTTGCGTCCGTGGCTCAGCCCTCGGGGAGCCCGCGCGGGGCTGTTCCTGGACCTTCTTGGCTGGCTCAGGCGTTCCTTGGCCAGCTGGCCGCTTGGCAAGGGTTCACGGGCAACGCCCATGGAGAGGAACTGTCCCCGGGCCAGGAGGGCAGACAGGCAGGCTGGCAGGGTGGGGCTGACTGGGGCCCTGGGGCAGGATGTGGGCTAGGGCCTGCAGCCCCAGGGAGCAGAGGACCCCGGGGAACTGCTGTGGGGCCGGAGCCTCTGCCGTCTTATCTCTGATGAGACCCAGCCTCCACTTCATGGGACTCCTGGGAGATGATAAGAGACCACCCCTGGCTGTCCACACGGGAGCTCACACTCAGACACTCCTTGACGGTCCTGGCCTGCACTGGCATGGAGCCGCGCCAGGGCACTGACGCCCTCGGGGCGTCCGCGTTCAACTTGTTTGTGAAGGAAGGCTCAGGGTGCACGGGCCCCCCAGCCCTGTCCGGTGGCCCCTCACCCCCATCGTTAAGTTATTGGACTTGGGATGCAGGAGGGGGAAGCTTCATTTAGGAAGGGAGTGTCTTCAAAGAGGCAGTGTGGGGCCCTTGTCTGTGGAGTCCCACCCCCTCCTGGCTCTCGAGTGCCCCGTGCGTGCTGTGTGTCCCCGAACGCCGAGGGGCGTGTGCATGCTGAGTGCCGTGTGGAGGCCGCCAGCACTTCTCTCCCCGCACGGGGCTCCTGTGTCTGCCCCCTCCACCCCATGCCCAGGAGCTCTCGTGGCAGGAAGCCCCTCCAGCCCATCTTAATGCCCAGTCTGAGCTCCTTCAGAGAGCCTTCGGTCTTCAGTCTCCTATGAAGGCTTCAGAGCCATTGCCGGATGCTGGGCCACCCTGGGGCGCCAGTAGCACCTGGCATTAAACTGCCGGGCGGAGGTCAGTGTGAGCCATGTTTGGGAAACCCACCTGTGCCAGACACAGTGCCTGGAGCCTGGGGGGCACTGACTTCAGGTGAACACTTGCCTCTGCTCCCTGGGAGCGAGAGCTAGCACCCCCTCCTGCCCGGGGGACAGTCAGGGTCCCATCACAGAGACAGACCTGTGGCAGCTCCCACCCTCCCAGAGCTGCCGGGATTGATCAAACAGGCCCGTGGTACCCAAGAGTCTGTGGGGGAGGGGAGGCCAGGGGCCCCGAGAGGGGAGGGGTGCGCGGGGGGGCCCTCGGGGGCTATCCAGGGCGGGTTCTCGTTTTCTCCTGGACCCCCGTGTGCCCCCCCGCCTGCTTTGTCCTTCCTGCCCCCCTCCCCCACCGCGGTGCTATGCTTAGTCACTCAGCCGCGTCCGACTCTGCAACCCCATGGACTGTAGTCCACCAGGCTGCTCTGTCCATGCGGATTCTCCAGGCACGAATACTGGAGTGTGTGTGTGTATCTCGGCGCCCTCGCCTCCACCCCAGGGCTTCACTACTTGTCTCAGCCCCTTCCCTGCCCAAGGGGGGGGGGGGGTCCTTGCATCCTTCCTTCCAGTCCTCCTTCTCCCGAAACTGGATCCCGGGTGTTGAGGAGCAGTGGGCTTGGGGGAGGTGAGGGTTTGATTCTCTGTTTAAGAAAGTTTTAGCTGGCTTCACGGACGGCTGAGTCACAGCTGCTTTCAGTTATTTTTAAGGGTAATGTAGATACATGACTCAGTGATGATTAAGTTCCCCAGAAAGGTAGAAGGAAAAGCCAGTGGCCCCTCCCCCACCCCGCAGGGCTCCATCCGTTCTGCTTCTGACTCTTCTCCTTAATTGCTCCAGTCGTTACTCCTGTAATGATGACACTGCTCCTAGGCGCTGAGGTTTTCACTCATCTGCTACCCCCTCGCCACTGCCCCCCACCATAAAAGATGTGACTTGGCCCAGGCTCACTCACACCATTCTCTCCCCCGCCCCATCTTTAGTCATTATTGCTTTTGTTACTTTCAAAACTTTTAATAGGTTTATGCAATTTCTGCGCTGTTTATATAGGTCGTCGTGAATTGAGTTATCCAGGCAACACCGTAGTTTTGTGTAAAGTGTAGTCCACCTTTCCCCCCTAGCTTTTAAAATGGTAAAATATGCAAATTCAGGTTTACCACTGTGACTGTTTCCAAGTGCACGGCTCAGGGGCGCTGAGTGTTGAGGTTGTGGGGTGACCACCGCCGTGCGGCACCTTCATCTCCCCAGACTGAAGCTCTGTCCCCGTTGAGCTCACAGCCACCGCCCCGCTTGTTGCTGTAGTCGAGTCTCTCAGTCGTGTCCGACTCTTTGCCACGGCCTGGACTGCAGCACACCGGGCTTTCCTGTCCCTCACCATCTCCCGAGTTTGCTCAAACTCATGTCTATTGAGTGGATGATACCATTCAACCATCGCATCCTCTGTCGCCCCTTCTTGTTCTGACCGCCCCCGCCGCCCCCAGCCTGCAAGCCAGCCGCTTTTCCTGTGACTTGTCCAGAGCCGAGAGGAGGACTGTGTCTGCCTCCAGGACCCAAGGAGGTGCTGGGGCGCTCTGCCTCTTTCTGGGTTGTCGCTGGGGATTGGATGTGGCCATGTATCCCTCACTTTTGAATTGACATCTCACTGGGCCCCATGCCACTGAACCCCTAGAAACTGTACTGAGGGAGAAGGCCCTGAACACGTTTAATCAATTTTTTTAATTGTGATAAAGCATGGATTAGTGAAATGTGGCATCCTAGTCATTTGTAGGCATATGTTTCAGTGGTGTTACGTCTGTTTGTCTTGTCCTGCGAGCATCACCTCCAGCTCTCTAGGGACTTTTTATGCCTCCAAACTAAAACTCTGCCCCCAGGGAAGGCTGGCTCTGGTCCCCCCAGCCTGGCCTCGCTGTGTCTCCATCCAGATTCCTCCAGTTCCTCATGTCAGAAGATCCTTTGTCCTCTCCTGCGCCCCCGCTGCATTAGCCGGGCCTTCAGTGATGGGCCCGGCGTCACACAGTGGCCAGCCTGCAGAGCTGGGGTGTGAAAGCTGGGGTGTTCTGGCTCCAGAAATCCCCTGTGCCTCCATCCTGCTCGGAACAGGCACTGGGAACTCCAGAGAAGGGAGGCCCTTTGAGGAACCACCCCCCACCCCATCTTATGGAGGCGCGGGGCTCGCTGGATGTGTGGCAGGCAGCAGCCTTGTCCTCCTGGGCCCGTGTGACTCCAGTACCCGGGCCCTCCCCGAGGATGGGAGAACAGAAACCACATCCTCCTGGGGCCTGGGTCCCCCTTCCCAGTGGGTTCACACTCAGCGGGTAGAGACAGAGCTCCTCCAGGCTCCCGCGGCTCTGGGATGGGGACAGAGGCTCCTGTGGCTCCGCGGCTGTGTTTGCAGGAAGCCTCCTTGTTTCTTGTGCTTTTACCATCTCTCCTGGTAGACCTGCCCCCGCCACGGCCAGAGCTGTCGAGGACCCCGACCCTGGGCTCTCCTGAGATGGCTCAGGAGCTAGGATGTCGCCTTTCCACTGAGTAGCAAGATTCCTGGCCAGACATGAAAGCGGGGATGATAACAGTCCGTTTTCTCCAGGCAGCTTATCCTGATTAAGCGGGAATCCAGCAGAAATCCCCTGTGTAGTCCTTCCTTCCCATCCTGCTGCTTACCCCCGTCTGCCTCATCCTGACACAGTCTGAAACTCCCAGGAGGTGAGTTTCGGGGTCCACGAGCTGGGTGCCGTGTACCCCACGTGCTCAGCACTGCTTCTCATCCTACGGAGGCAGCAGCTGCAGTGAGGGGCAGCATCTCATGCCCACGGGGGCCGGTGGGAGTAGGATTCCCCCCCACCCCCGCTCTCGCTGGTGGGCAGCACCCAGGTTCCTGCCTCCCCGCTGTGCCTGCGGGCTGGGCCTGCCTGGACGTGGCGTTCTCTGGAACATCAGAACTGAGTTGTGTAATCCCATGGCTGCGTGTGGTGCGTGGGATGCTGAGTGTGTGTGCCTCTTCGGGGGGTCAGGCCGGGTGAAGCTGAGCCCCAAGCCTGCAGCGTCCGCTGGGGTCCTGGGCCAGCAGTCCCCTCGCCCTCCCCGTGTGAACCAGAGCGGGAAGCGCCCGGCCTGGAGGCCAAGGCTCAAGGTGATTTATGGCAGGCGGAGCCCTCGGCGAGCCCCCTGATGCAGCGCATTCAGACTCCTGCTGGCAGTTGTGCGGGCCCTCAGTCCGGCCTGCTGTTTTTCTGGGCTGACACCACACCTCTCCCGAGCGTTTTCCCTCTTTGCTTAGGGACCGTGCAGAGCAGATGAGTTACGCTGTCTCTTCCCTCGGTGGTGGTGGGGGGGGCAGACGGGTCTGCAGAGGATAGGAGGCCACACAGAGCCAGGGGACAGCTCGGGAGTGACCCCCGTCGTGCTCGCCTGGGTCCGCAGGCCAGGCCAAGCCCGGTCTCAGAGCCCAGGAGCTGGCGCGGCGCTGATTCACTTGCTGCGATTTTCCGAAACACCGTATTATATCATGATGAACTTTGGAACACCCAGGGCTGGGGGATGGCAGCCTCCTTCCCCCTCTGAAGTCTGCCTTTCTGCCTCTGAAAGGCACTGGCACCCTCCAGCCTTTCCATTTTAGAAGTAACTCATTGGTGAGCTGGAAACCGTGTTGAGATCACCCTGGTCACTGGCCTCCATGCGCATAAACAGAGCAGCCTCAGAGGAGAGGCCAGGCAAAGCAGCAAGGCCAGCCCGGACGCTGAGCGGGGCTGAGCCTCAGCTGAAGAGGAGGCGCCCGTGGTCACCCGCTCGTCCTTCGTGTCCTCGTGGGAAGAGACACACTCCCTGCCTCCCCACGCCCTGTCCCTAGGAGATAATCAGTATGACTTGGCAAATCCATATGACTTCCCAGCTACAGACTCCCAGCACCCACCCCCCCGCCCCCCGTGGGTGTGTACATGGCCCGACTGAGGCTGGGCAGCCCCTGCTGGGAACTGGGGGACAGTCCCCACCTTGGAGAGGTCAGCAAAGCTGCCTCAGAGAAAGGGCTTCTCAGGGGTGAGAGTAACAGGCCAGTGACAGGGACGGGGGGTGGGTACTATGAGCAGAAGGAGCTATACGTGCAAAGCTTGGAAACAGAGTGTGGGGCGTGCAAGGTGAACAGTCTGGGGTGGCCCCCAAACTTGGCCTGTCTGGGAGAGGTCAGGAGACGAATTGGGAGAGCTTCCAAAGCCACACGGACGATTTCAGGGCTTGTCCTCAAGGCCTTGGAGAAGCTCTTGGCTTTTAAGAAGGAAGATGCTGCGGTCCATTCAGTACCTGGGCTCACGCGCTCCTCAGGGACCAGCTCGGGCAGGTGTCTGGCTGGGGATGCTGAGGCAGTGTTAGGGAAAGGACCTTGTGGGGCGGGAAGGTGCAGGCAGGCTGGAGATTGCGGGAGGTGGAAGGGAGCAGGTGTGGTGACCATGTGGACGTGGCCGTGGTGGGTGGGATGGACCTGGGGAGCGGAGACAGGGGCAGCGATGACTCGGGGAGGAACCAGTTTCAGGGGCCAGAGATGGAGACTGCAGCAGGTGGTGAAAGGTCTAGGTTTGGGTGTGTGATACCTGAGCGCCTAGGAGCCAGCTGGTACCCACTGACGTGTGTTTCAGGAAGAGGGGACAGGGCTGAGTGACGGTTGCCAAGAGGTGTCAGGGTCAGCTGGCTTGAGCATCTGCATGTGCAGAGCAGAGAGGCAACCATGTCCAGGGCCCAGGGCCTGGAGAGATTGGGCCCAGATGAGGAAATGACCAGCACCGCAGGGCCGTCTTGCTCCCTCCTGCTGGGTGAGTGGCCTGGGCTGGAGATGGAACAAGCTCGTGGCTGTGGAGGAGGGCCAGAGAGATGGACACCAGGGTCTGGGATGACTGTTTAGCCTGAGTTTGCGGGCGTTAGGAGATGCGGCCGTGAGATGCAGGACCTCACTGGTCTGACGGGAACGGGGTTCATGTCCAAACTCTGCTGTTTAGAGTGTGAAACTCTGGCTACCATCGTTGACCTGTAGGGCACTTGTCCCTTCGTGGGGGACAATGCCCACCTCTCAGGGTGTAGGAGATGATTAATGAGCCAGCCACTCATGGTGCCCACGGGCTCAAGCAGAGGTCTCCAATCCTGGGCCTATGGGCCAGTACTGGTCTATCGCCTGTTAGGAAGTGGGCCTCACAGCAGGAGGGGAGCAGTGGGTGAAACCCAAACCCTCCCCACCACCTCCCGGGCCTGTGGAAAGATTGTCTTCCACGAAACCAGTCCTTGGTGCCCAAGATCGGGGGATCAGTGCTGTAGAGTCCACAGTGCTCCTCAACCTTGGCCGTGTCAGCTCCCACAGGGGCGCTGACGCTGGGCAGCCACCGTCTATGACATAGAAGGAGCGGAGTAGATGCTGGGCTTTTGATGACTCCTCCCTGCGCCTGCAGACACGTTCTCACTGGGCCCGGCACTCTCAGAGCCCTCAGGCGGGGACGGGTGCCCTGCTGGCAGGAGGGGATGCCGTCAGCGCAAAGGCCAGATCCTGGGTTGGCAGTGTATCAGCGCATGCTCAGGAGGCTTGGGGAGTGATTCACAGATGGGAGGGCTGGCTGAGGGTCATCTGGGGACACTTCCTGGGGAACGCAGGCCCCAGGGGACTCTCTGGGGAGGGTGCAGAGGATGTGGCCCCTCACCATGCTGGCTGGGCGGGCAGTGGACTCCAGCTCACGACAGGGGGGCTCGAGGGCAGGGAACATCACTCCCCTGCCCCTGGCCAGTGATTTATGGCACGAGAGTGGAATTGGGAGATGCCCCGGGGACACTTGGAAGAGCTGAATGGGTGGGAAGGAACAGTACGGTGCATTCTGTTGACCTCCTTCTTGAGGCCCAAGTCTGGTCACCGCGGGAGGTGAACTTGGGACTCACAAGTTCCTGCATGTCCTGCCAGGGCTCCGGGCGGGGCAGCAGAAGGCCACGCACAGAGGGGGCGGCTCAGAGCATTAAGATTGGAAGCCTGGGTGATTCAGGGGCATCGAGGCCACGGCTGGTCGGCTCTCCGATTTTTCAGAGGAAGGAAACCGGCCTTGGTAACGAAGTCCAACTGAGTTCACTGCTTGGCATCTGGTGGAGCGGGGTTCCTAGGAAAGTCATCTTTCTGGTGGGGTGTGGAAACACGTCGGTCCTGACGGCTCAAGCTGTGTCAGAGGTTTCCAGGCCCTCTTTGAAGGCAGCCGCGGGACCGCCGCCTTGTGTTGTTGCGTGTCTGCTCAGCCTCTTCCCCTCTGGCTGCTGTTGGAAGCTTCATTTCCGATCACCACGATGTGGACTTCACTCCAGGCCCAGTGGCGGGCGGGCTACTGAGCCCCATTCCCCATTGGTGGCCTGCTCTCCTTCCTCCTCTGGCCTTTACTTTCACGGTGAGGATGTGCGCCTGTGCGCCTCCGGCACCGTGAGTCTGGGCGGCTCACGCGCATGGCGGGGACCCAGGCACCCCTGCTCGGGAGGCTCCTGGGCCGCCGGTGGCCGAGGTGACGTGTCCCTCCCCATCAGCTCCGAAGGCCTGGCCCCGCGGACGAACCGACTCTGCTCCCCGGGCCCCTGGCTGACTCCTGGCCCGGACCACCTCTTTGGTAAGGCTTGTTAATTACCGAGCTTGAGACGGCCCTGTGCCGAGAAGCTCAAAGCATCTTCCTACCTTGACCCATTGATCCCATTAGCATCCCAGGGAGAGCAGAAGGCACCAGCCGGGTCCTGTGACTCCCATCCCTGTCCTGCCATGGTGTCCGGCTGGGCAGGGGAGTGGGGATGGGGGTGGGGAGGAGAGGGAGGGCAGACTTGAGCAGAGAGGGCTTGGCCCGAGAGTCCTCATTGAATCAACAGCAAGCCTGGAAAGGAAAGCTGAGTTTCCCAATTCAGGTCAAGGACTGTTGTCAGTGCAGGCTTCCTTCCTTACAAAACAGCCCTTGTCCCTCTCTTTAAAGATCTACCCTTCCCTGTCCCCCCGCCCCCGGCCCCATCCCCTGCAAGGTGAGGCCATTGTCAATATCTGGTGACACGAGGTGTGTTTGCGCTGAGCTCCGAACGGAGGAGTTGGAGCATCCTTTGGGGCAACCTGGTAGGGCTGCCTCCTTTCTCTGAGCATCAGCTCCCTGCATGCTCTCTCCCCTGAAAGGGCCGAGGCAGCGCCGGCCCCCTGGGTGGGGTGCACCGCAGCTGCGTGGTCCCCAGGGTGCTACCTAGCAGGGCAGAGCCTCCCCTGGGGCCTGCTCAGAGGGGACCCACACTCAGAGGCAGCTGGCTGAGGAGGAAACAAGATGTTCTTTCTTCTGCCCTGTGCTGCCCCTCGCTCTCAACATTCTACATTGTTTTTAGTTTTCAGCCTAATTTTAGTCCAAGAACTTGGTGAAGCTGGAGAAGCCTCTTAAACCCTTTTTCTTTTCTTTTCTTTTTTTTGTAAACAAGTGAGCTTTTCTGGCCAGATGTTTCATTTTCCCTGGTTCTTACGGGGCTGCGCCATTGAGCTGTCGGGCTGAAACTGAATAAATCTTTGTTTTATGGCTTCTTTGCTCCTTTACAACTAAGGGCCTCAGGAAGGAATCAGATCTTTTAATCCTTCTGGTCTTAGCCTCAGATGACCTCTCGGATGCACGGTGCGCTGAGCCTCAAATGACCTCTCGGATGCACGGCGCGCTGAAGAGTCACAGAGAAGTTTTTGCGGCTGACCTGATGGCACGTTAACCAAAGTCCTGGACCCCAATACTGGGCAGGTTAACCTTGCGGGCATGGAAGAGCCAGGTCAGTAACCACCCCCAGCAAGTTGTTGTCTTGAGTGATTAGGTGCGCCTTGTGGTGAGGAAGGGGGCTTCCCAGGTGGTGCTAGTGGTAAAACCGCCTGCCAGCGCAGGAGACAAAAGAGACACGGGTTCGATCCCTGGATCAGGATGATCCCCTGGAGGAGGGCGTGGCAGCCCACTCCAGTATTCTTGTTAGGAGAATCCCATGGACAGAGGAGCCTGGCAGGATATGGTCCATGGGGTTGCAAAGAGTCGGACATGACTGAAGCATCTGAGCACTCGTGCATGCGGTGACCAAGACGGGGGTAGCCCTGTTTCTCTCTAGACGCCCCCTTTCCAGTGCTGAGCCCCGAGTCCAAGAGTGTGCGAAACTGGGTTCTCCGGACGGCTTCTCCAGGCTCCTGGAACGGGTCGCACACGCAGCGTGTCGGGGTTCGGAGTGACACGGCAGTAGTGAAAGCTGCAGGTATGGCAAGATGTTTTCATGGTTCCGGGAGAGCCCGCTGATTTCAGCTATTTTTACTTCTGAAAGGACCCTGGCACCTGGTCAGCCTTGTAAAATCTGTTGTCAGTGACACAGCTGCGGCTGACCGCAGAGCTCTCCAAGTGTTGGGGGAGCAGGGGAGAAATCTAGGCCTGCTTTTTGGACAGGTTTTCATCTGGGAGGAGAAAACGCTATTGCTCAATCTTGAAAGCTGAGTTTTTAGACCTGGCGGCACAGCAGACCGCAGGGCTGGCCTCGGGCAAGATGGAGAACAGGCCAGCGCCCGGGACTCCTCTGCACCCCTCAGCCTGGCAGGGGCCGGCCCCAGGGATCCCCCAGTCCATGGCGATAGCATCCCAAGCTCTGGACGTCTCAGAAGTTGCAGCAAATTCACTGACTCCTGCTCAGCTCTCTCTGGAAGTGAAGCTCATCTCTCCTGGCCTCCCTTTTCGTCTGCATGGTGCCCTGGACTTCCTGTCCTCCCACGCAGAAGCTGTTGTGAAATCGGGTCCATTTCTGCCTCTGTGACATCCTCGCCCAAGTTCCCATCGCCCAGCTGTGTCCACAGCCGCCACTGTGACGGCCCAGGTCTGCCTCAGCTCTCGGAACTCTGTCTGCACCTGCCGCTGGTGACTTCCCCTCAGCTTGGCCCTGACTGTGCCCCTCCGCACTCCTCAGTGGCTCCCTATTGCCAGGAGAACTCTGCTCCACACAGCCTGGGTTCTGGCCACGCTGGGCAGAGGCCCCTGCCCTCCTTTCCCCGGCCTTGCTCACTCTGTTTCTCCCACCTGGACGGACTCCCTCTGGGACCTCAGGGAATGTTTAAAGGCCTCACCAGCTGCTGAGAAGCGGAGAGGAGGTTCAGGACAAAGAGAGAAGTAAGGGGGTGAGAAACCTCTTTAGTTTGGAAACCAAGAGAAATATAGAGTCTTAAGGAAAATCACCGATTCAGTGGACATGAATTTGAGCAAACTCTGGGAGACAGTGGAGGACAGGGTAGCCTGGCATGCTGCACTCCATGGGGTTGCAAAGTTGGACACGATTTAGCGACTCAACAACAGCACCAACAAGGAGGAAGTGGTGATGCAGGCCCTCTCGTGAGCGGTATCAGCATCCTTGCTAGGCAAGCTGTTACACCTTCAGCTGGATTATTTTGCTAAGGGTGACCGAAAAGGGTAGGAAATCCAAGGAAGCGGGGATATATGTACATGTGTGGCTAATTCACTTTGGTGTGCAGCAGTAAGTAACACAACATTGTAAAACAACTCCACTCCAATAAGAAAAATTATTTTGCAAGGTAATGTGCAAAATGGACACCCGAACCTCATGCCTGAGTCCCTTTTGAAGGAGGTGAGAAGGATGGTGGACAAAGGGGAGAAGTGGGTATGAAGCACCTTCTGGGAAACAAACTGCAGACACGAGGTATCAGGTGGCACAGCTGGTAAAGAATCTGCCTGCCAATGCAGGAGATGCGGTTTTGGTCCCTGAGTGGGAAGGATCACCAGAGGAGGAAATGGCAACCCGCCCCAGTATTCTTACCTGGGAAATCCCATGGGCAGAGAAACCTGGGGGTCTACAGTCCATGGAGCTGCAAAGGGTCAGATGCAACCAAGTGTATGCATGTGCGCGCACGCGCACACACACACACACACACACACACACACACACACGTTACAGGGGTGTGGTGTTAGGGGGTCACGAGCTCCTTGGGAGCTGCGGCATCAGGAGCTAGGTTCTGTTCCCCCATCACTTGAATTGAGGCCCATGACTTGTTCTGAAGTAGAACATGGAAGGAGTGAGGTCCCTGGGGACTTGTATCTCTGCCTCAGCTGCCCTGTGAAGTAGCTTAGCCCCTGGGGCATGAGAGACCTTGGAGCAGAGCCGGGCCCTCACAGTGGAGGCCTCCTGGCCAACCAGCCTCTGACACCGAAGCCTGAGAGTGAGACCCTGTTAGATCCACCAGCCATCAGCTGACCACCATCCGTGGGAGAGCCCAGGGGTGATCAGCCAAGCCGGCCCAGGCCGGAGCAGCCCATCCACCTACACGGCTGGAAACGTGAAAAAATGGACGCTGTTGCAAGCCACACAACGCTGAAGTTCTTGGCGAAGCGGCAGAGCTGTTGACATGGAGATGTGGGTCATTCACCGCCAAGTCTGCTCATGATGTGGGTTGTGAAGGGTCTGATCCCTTCCCCAGCATTCCTAAGGTCTTGCTCACTGATTTTCAGTTAAGATATAGAATTGACTGCTTTACCATGAAGCTTCTTCTGGTTTCTAGGTGAAAATTCAGAGGATGCACCCTTATACTTTTTTTTTGGATGGTGAAGTACAAATAACATAAAGTTGGCCATTTTAACTCTTTTAAAATGTACATTTCATCAAGTGTGAAACAGATCGCCAGTCCAGGTTGGATGCATGAGACAAGTGCTCAGGGCTGGTGCACTGGGATGACCCAGAGGGATGGGATGGGGAGGGAGGTGGGAGGGGGGATCGGGATGGGGGACACATGTAAATCCATGGCTGATTCATGTCAATGTATGGCAAAAACCACTACAGTATTGTAAAGTAATTAGCCTCCAACTAATAAAAATAAATGAAAAAAAATAAAATGTACATTTCAGCAGTGTGAATCGCCTTCATGATGGTGTACAGCCATCACCACTCTTAGTTCTGGCGCTTTCTCGTCCTCCCCCACGAACCCCGATACCCATTCGGCAGCCACGCTGTTACTCTCTACTCCCTCTGCCCCCGCCCCCTCCCATCCCTGAGTAACTGATGATCTACTTCCCGTCTCATCGATTTGCCTGGACATTTCATGTAAATGAAATCACTCAGTATGCAGTCTTCAGTGACTGGCTTATTTGATTTAATTCAGTGATGGCTCAGACGGTAAAGAATCTGCCTGCCATGCAGGAGACCGGGGCTCGGTTTCTGGGTCAGGACAATCCCCTGAAGAAAAGAATGCCTACCCAGTATTGTTGTCTGGACAATTCCTCGGATAGAGGAGCCTCGCAGGCTACAGTCCACAAAAGTCAGACATGACTGAGTGACTAACGCTTTCACTTTTTCAAGATTCATCCACGTTGTAGCCTCCACCACCCCTCTGTTCCTTTTTATGGCTGAAGGACCCATTCTGTTTGGCTTTGCTGACCTGGTTTGACTGTGTGCGTTGTAAGGGCTCTGATGTGCTAGGGACCATTCTAAGTGTCTCCTTTCATTTACTCCACGGTTACTTGAGCTCAGAGCTGTTCTTACCTGTATTTGACAGATGAGGGAACTGAGGGGCAGAGAGGTTAAGTGCGTGATGAGAATCACACAGCTGGTGAAAAATGCTCAAGGATGCTAAAGAGGAGAGCTGCACTCTCACCCAAGGGCTGGGCTTCTTAGGGGTTTCCAGGTGGCGGAGGACATTGGGTAGCCACATGCTCTCTTGTCCTCAGCTTTGCACTGCACGGGAAACCTTACGGTCCGTCAAGCGTTTTGTTATTTGTCAACACGATTTGTTATTTGTTTTAAGATGTTTGGTATTTATTTCTGATTATAAAAATAATACCTACTTGTAAAAATTTAGGGCTTCTTTGGGGGCTCAGAGGTTAAAGCGTCTGCCTGCAATGTGGGAGACCTGGGTTCAATCCCTGGGTCGGGAAGATCCCCTGGAGAAGGAAATGGCAACTCACTCCAGTATTCTTGCCTGGAGAATCCCATGGATGGAGAAGCCTGGTGGGCTACAGTCCATGGGGTCGCAAAGGGTCGGGCACGACTGAGTGACAAATCAAAAAGAAAATGAGGGCCACTGATAAAAAAAAGACATGAAGATAGGAAATGGAATTAGAAAAGGAAAGAGATGTAGACAGTGGAAGGGAAAGTCTATTGCAAGGTATTTGGAGAAGGGTGATGGGTGGAGTAAGTGTCCGGGAGATTTGTTTGTGGACATTTTGTAACAAAAGAATAGTGATTTTTAAGTAATTGACAAAGCCATTTGACATCAATGCATCAAAAACTCCTTGGCACCAAAACAGCCTGGTGAATGCTTCCTGAGTGATGACTGGAATCAGAGAAAGGAAGACAGTACCAGTGGGAGCTGTCTTCCAGCTTCTGTGGGGCGTAGGAAGGACAGTTGAGACTGATGGTATGTTCAAGCTTGTGAGTGCCAGGCACTTGATGCTCTTAAAAGCGATGTCTTACAAAATCTTCCCCACCACTCTCTTAGGCAGGCGTTTCCAACTGATGCAGGGCAGTGGTAAGACACTCTGCACTGTCACAGCACCAGCTTCCTGATGCTCCGCCTTGTGCTGTTCTTGCATCTTTGCAGTATCTTCCTAGGATAAATCAAGAAAGCCCCTGATGACCCCAGTTGGCCTGGGCAAAAGGCTGCATAAGGATTGGTCTTCCTGGCTCACAAGAAGTTGAAAAATAGCTCAGAGATCCTGTTCTGCTCATGATCTCCCCAACGTTAGCTCTACTTGATGTTCAAGGACATCGGCATCTTGTCAACGTCTTATTGGCATCATCTTGTCTTATTGTCAGGGATTTTGAAATGATATCCCCCCCGCCACCGCCTTCCAACTCCATGAAATGCCTTCCTTGTTGAGCCCCTCTGATCGATCTGGATTTGTTTATACAGGCAGACACGAAAGCAAGAATGGACAAAGAAAGCAAGGCCCAGCACTTTGTAGGCAAGGGTGCATGGTAATGAGTCAGAGGAAAATCAGGGCACAGGAAGTGTGGCCCGATTCTTACGACGCGGATCTGAGTTCTTAGTACCCAAAGCAGAGAGAACTGTCCACGCACAGAACGGTCAAGGCGCTTGCCTCAGCCCCTTTCCCTTGGCCCTGGACTTTCTCCTCTGAGCCACCGGCTGGAAAGGCTGGAGTGTATTTGGGGCAACCAGGTCGTGGCTCTGTTGACACTCAGCTTTCCCAGTGGGCCGTCTGGCTGAAGGACACATACGTGGTTGTGGAGGTCCTTAACCTCCTGCTTCATATCACAGGAAATGGCCAGAACTCTCTGCAAAGACACAGCCATTCACGGAGCACCAAGGAATGGAGAGGATCTTAGGGATCAAGGTGGGGAAAGAGCCTTTACGAGGAGATGGCAGAAGGTATGAAAGGAAGACCCAGAGGGACCCCCTCCTCCCAAGGCGGGACTCGTGGCTTTGTGGAGCCATCAGTGTCCTCACTGAATGTGGCCCGCTGGGTTTCTTTGAAAACAGATAATGTTCATGCCTGTTTTCAAACTCTCCTCCCCCCGCCCCTTTTTAAGTCAAAGATTGTTGTCATAGGAGAGATAGAATTTATCACCAAACATACTGTCATGAATTAAAAAAGCAAACAGGGACTAATTGCCTCTGTAAAACAAGAACTTAAAGCAGAGATGGACATCAGGGAAGGTGCGGTAAGAGAGAAGGAAATGAGAGATCCATTTGCAGAACGCAGGAAAACGTGGAAGAGAAAAATCCAACTGTTTGAAGTTATAAAGGGCATGTTGGAAGCAGCAAAAAGAACAGATGCCATCACAAACTCAGCCGG